AGTTTTAAGTCATTCTAACCAGTTTTTGAGTAATTTTAGATGATTTTTGAGTCAATTTGAGTAATTTTATGTTACTTTGGAGATGTTTCAAAGCATTTTGGACAATTTTAGATGAGACTCTAACTATTGGAAGATTCATACGAAACATCTTTCCAACGGCCCGTGAACTAATTATTTTTTTCGACATTCGGTTCCATCTTGAAAATGGACCAAATCTCGTCCTTCCTTTTCCCGTTTGTGTGAACCAGCCAGCTTCAACCGAACCGACGCCTCATTAACCGCCGAGTCTTAACAACACGGAAAATAATAAAAAAAAAAAACACTCCGAAAAAGAAAAACATAACGACACAAACGCAGGACTAATTAGGAGGCGAGAGCTGCTAAATGGGTCAGGATGAAGCTGTGAAGGAGGACTAACCAGAAGTTTTTTCCTGTCGCGGCTCGTTTTTTATTCACAGATAATGTTGCTGAACAAACTCCGGAGCTGTGAGGAGTATTTACAGTCTCTAACAAGGGAGCTGCTCGTTAGGAGCCACAGGAAACAACCCCTCCGACGAGGTTTTTACGGGTGCGAGGATGTCGACATCTGATCGCCTGCAGTTACTCATGCATGGAACAACGACAGCCGCTAAATTAACAGAGTCTGGACTCAAGTTTTCTGTCTGCAGGGGCGGCCGCGAGGTGTAAATTACACCGAGCTGCGGGTCAACTCGAGGTAATCGTGGGCCTGTCGGATAAAACGACTTCCTGCAGATTTAAGCAGCTCTTTATGTTGAGTTCTTGGGTTGAGTTGGGAGATGTGGTTTTATCTTCAGGGGCAACGCTGACACCAATTATTAGTAGCGAAGAGGCCGATAACCAATGTTTGGAGCCAATATATGTTAAAACATGTGATAACCTCTCATCGATAACTTCGTTAATAAGGATAACTATGACTGTGTACGAACACCAGGTTGTTCATGTTGATTAAGATCGATCAGTTTGTTAGTTTAGCTCGTCTTTTACTCTTCTACTACTTTCATTTCCCACTAAAGTCCATATTTTAAAGCATTATTAGTTTTCCAGATTCTGTTTTAGAGCAAT